CAACATTTCTTCTGTAATACACAAATATATGTTAAGGACAGCAAGATGACTTGCAGAACACATGCCATTTTGTCCAACCATTGTTTTTTATTACTGACAATTTGTAAAGTTGCTAGTATTTCTTTACTGTATGATTATCTATCAAAATGAATTATTTATAAATAATGCATAGTTAATGACGAATCTCATAGAAACCATACTGCAGACAGTGAAAAGATTTTTGTTAATTTGACATGGTTTGGCACTGCATGTGATATTTTCTACAGTATCACCTTTACTTTGTTAAAATTGGTAATACAGGTGATACAAACCCAATTTTTATTTTTCTTTTCTCTACTTTGCTGATCTTCAAAATAATTGCCTTGGCTTGACTTAGAAACTTGCATTATGAAGCCTCTGTTGGTTTTTTTTGAGTGAACAGCATTATATATTTTCACTGGATTCTAAATTGTCATTTGGAAAATAAATATCTTCTTTTGGCATCCACATTTCTCAAAACTACTTCTGTATTTATCTTTCAGCAAGTCATTCTCCAAGAGCACTTGATTCTTTAAACATTATCTCTGAAAGGCCTTTTGTAACTCATGGAACTTGCTGAAAAACATTTTGTTAAGAGATAATACAGTTCTTGTTAAGAAAAAACAAACAAACAAAACGACTCAGACAGTCAAACATATGCATTTTCCAGCTGTTGTTCCTTGCTTGGGGACTTAATTCTAGAAAGCAAAATCCTTATATTTGACTTCATTTTGGCATATGTAGCCACAAACCAGATTGAGTTAAATGACTGCTGATTAAAAGCAAAAGAACACAATGCAAAAATCACTCAAATGTCTGTTCTTATATGAGTATTTCTTCCTTTAAATTGTACATTTGTATTTGAGTCAGAAATACTATTTTACCTGGAAATAATTATAGGTCTGATAATGCTGCCTTTATTGGAACAAGATCTTCATGAAATTGCCGAAAACTTTGAATTACGGAGTGCAAGATCAGGCTAAGTAGTTTAAGGCACTCTTGCTGTTCTTTCTTCTGATTCAACAGAGCACTCAGGTGTGTGCTTAGCTTTAAGAGGCTTGTGTCATATCACTAAAGCCAATGGAAGCATTTACAGGCTTAAAGTTGAATACACCACTGGATCATTTGCTAACTAAGATGAAAACAAAAAGAGAATAATCTTTATAATATTTTTAATGCAAGGAACAGAATTACAAATTACTGTATTAGTTCTGTTGGATTCAGTGCAGATGCAGTCCTCTAAACAAAGACTTAAACATTTCCATATGCCAAGAACAGGTTTTTTTTTAACTGCCTCCAGCTTTCCTTGGCTTTAGAAGTATTGAGTGCTTAGATTTTCTAAAAGAAAGTGAGAGGAAAGTAATGCTGTAGAGAGAAGCACAGACTAATATTCTTCACAGAAGAAAAATATCTTGCCACTATACACCGCTTTAATCAGTACATCCATACTATTTCAAACCTCAGAAACCACAAGGATTCTCCCATCCTTTATCAAATACATAGACATTTTCTCACAGAAATCATGGCTTTCATACAAACAGCAATTTAGAAATCAATAATAAAAAGTGGACATGCACATATTTAGAAGTAAATTAGGGTAAAAGAAATAACAAGTGTAATCAATAAGCCATTGTAAAGTCAAGAAAACAAAAGATTTTCTAAGGAGAAGTGTAATTGCATTCACAGGCAGGGAGAAATTTAACAAGGCCTGCTACATGCCAAGGAAGTATGATTCTAGTTGTGTTTTTCTATTTAATGTTATTTCCTCCACTATAGGATAATGGGAAAACAAACAAAATGACCTTCAGGATAAGTATTTTTACTTCGTCCCAAGGTAATACTTAAGTAATTTTTTCTCCATTCGATTTAAAAAAAAAAAACAGCAACCAAAAACCAATACAAAAAAAGACAGATGCTTAATTCAGATGCTTTTGATACTTTCTAAAATTGTATTTACAGTAAATAGTGGGATGATTATAATTAGCAGTGCTGTTTTGATTTGATATTTTCAGCTTCAGTGCTCTGGCCCGTTGTGCTACTGCATATAGCTGTCTAAGTAATCACCTTAGAGCTGAGATCCTGACTGTGAGGAGACTTTTTCCACTAGGAAATAACATTTTATCTTTCAAACACACAAAAACATAGCAGTGAGGTCAGCCCAGTGCGTACCAGGTATAGAGAACTGAATGTATTAGAAGCATCAGGTGCCTGACTGCATACCAAAACCAAAATTCTGACTTTGGAGGCACACACCTTCTCCCACCACTCTCACCACTTTCTTATGCTGCCTTCCACAGCAGCTGACCCTGCTCCTGGTCAAAGGAGGGAGGCCTCTCTTACAGCATGAAGGTCAGAACTGAAGTAAGCCATTCATGTTAGAGCCTAGGAAAAAGGCACTGCTGTGTCCTTCTTAGAAAAAACCTTCCACTGCGGTGCTTTCCTCAGCATGGGGAAAAAGGGGGGGGGAAGGGGGCAGCAGAAGGAGGGAATGGGACAAGAAGAGACATATCTTCCAGTAAAGCCACATTTGTGCTGTCAAACCCAGCAGCCTAAAACTTACACAAATAACTTCACAGTTATCAATTAGCCCCAGTTAAGCCAGCCTGGTTTCTCATGACCCCAGAGTCCCATGGGTCTGTCTGCAGGTTTGTGAGAGGAAAATGGATGAATCAAATAGTCGAACTGTAAGTAAACCTATGACTGTAAGTTTAGAGCAATTTCTACCTGGTTATCAACAGATATATAACCATTTGCAACCCAATTTTGACATTCTATGACTCCAGAGTTTCCCTAAAGAAGAAAGTGAATTCCTGGCACACAGACCCTAGATAAGATTCTCCACCTTTCTTGGCTAGTGTCTCTTGTCACCTGCATCGGGATAGCTAGGCTATCCATTGCCAGCAGACAACACAGGCCATTATACTGAAATTGTAAAAAAACATTTGCTGAATACAAATGTTTAGCAAAAGCACAAACACCACTTTGGCCTTCAAATGCAATTTCTTTATTTCAGTAACCTCCAGATTAAATGACTTCCTTATTTCATTATAGATGAGGAATTGAACCTCTTTGGACTAGCTTAGCTTCATGTAGGAGCACATTTTCTGCATCTAGAGAGTACAAAGCACCTGTCATTTCTTTCCAGACATTTTACATTTTGCACTTGCATAAATAAAATCCTTCCTTCAGCCTATAAAGCCTTCCCAGCACCTTGGGCACTGAAATCCTCAATATTTTGGGGTGCTTATTTTTTCCTGCAAGTTTTACACTCCCAGGTAAGGAGACAATAATGTACATTTTTCCACTTCGGAGGCTTTGCTGACCTTCTCCCTTTGCTGACTGCATTACATCACCAGGCTGTACAATACACAGCTGCACACAGTCTCTTCTCACCTTTGTAAGTGTAAGGTGGAGGTATAATAATAACAATGATAAAGTATTGTTTACAATCCTTTTCCCTATTATAATTCAGTAAATAAATCAACATCAAAAAATATGTAAGAACTACTCAAAATGCATGCAACATCTCATTGTACCATCATTTCTGGAAAAAAAATCCAACATCAATAGTTCATTCCCATCGATAAAGACAAGAACCAGCGTTACTATCAGCACATAGCCCTTCTTTTAGCAATGCGAAACTTCACTCCCTGAACCTCAAGATTTTTATAGAACGCCTGTCATATCCTGCGTGCTCTGAAATGGGCAGCAAAACCAAGGCGAATTCAGCTATTTCAGGAGCTATTTAGCATATAATACATGCTGGTCAGAAATGCAGATGCAATTGAGATCTTTGCCTCTATAGATAGCCTTTAGAAAGCATCAAAAAGAGAAGGTCCATAAGTCTTTTAAATACCATTGTCTTTAGGTAAGACTTTCACATTCCAAAAAACATAACAAAAAGCATCAAATGATCTTTCAAATGTAAACAGTTAAGCAGAAGTTACTGAGAAATCAAACTGCAACTCCACTAGCTAATGGCCAGGCACTGCTGCTATTCCATATCTCTTACTAAATCTCTGGCATAATTAGAAAAGTACAGAAATATACAATACCATGAAGAACACAAATACCTTGATCCCAGATCTGGCAATACAACGCCACAGAGTCCTCACTGTACATGCTGTTGTGCTCTTTATGTAAAATTAGTTTCACTCTCACAAAGTGTTTAGTTACAGTTATACTTCTGCAATTAATCACAGCTATTGCTATATCTGTAACTGCTATCTATTGCAACATACAGCGAAGCAAAAACTAGACAGATAGACATATAGATTTATTCAACATTCTAAGCGACACAACCTGAAAAACTCAGCAAAGCCGTTCTTGAAAAAACCAAACCATGCACTGAGATCAATTTATAAGCCAGTAAGAGAATTTTATTGTCCAAAAAATTAAAACAAAAAAGAACACACCCATGAGATCTTGCCGCCACCATTAAAATAACATTCAGAAAGGTCCCGAGTAGAAGGATAAGAGTTTATAGAAAAGCACATAATTAACACCTGTACAAAAGAGAAACAAGAGCTGGTGCCTCTCAATCCCGCTTGCTAATATTTGTGTCCCCATCAGCAAGAGAAACGTTTAAAAGTATCCAACAGGTTAGTGCTCTTAGGAACCAGGTTTTTTCCTTCCAGTGCACACCCTCTCCCCTTATGGCAGTCCAGAAACACATCCAAGTTGTCAGAATGATACCTACAAGAAATTTCAGAAGCTCTCATAAAGGGCTTCGCATATGCAATCCACAGCACTGAACAGTGAATTTAAAAAACCCAATTTTTTTTCCGAGTTTGAAGTTTTTAAGCCTTGCGGATGGTTGGAGTAGGAAAAAGGAAATTTACTAGGCAGTACAAAGGAAATCTTGTTGTCCTCTATTGTGGCAGTGGGGGTGTTGCCCAATTCTAACTTATCTAGGTTGATAAAGGAAACCAAAGAACACGCCACTGAAAAAAATTTCAACAAAAAAGGTACCCCTTTCTTACCTTAATAGTGCTTGCCATAATGTGATCAAGATTATTGATCGCTAATAATTGCTAATAATAATTATTGCTTCGCTCTGACCAGAAAGAAGTTTTGATGAGGTTGTTTAGAGCGGATGAGATTGTGCTAACTCTGGGAAATGAAGTCAGCCAATGGCAGGAAGAGGTTTCTATTGGTCCTGGCCACTGCAGCTCGAAGAAACAGGATATTTGGGAGTGAAGAGATAAGAGTCCTAAAACAATGTTGTTTTTCTTGATGATATGTGACTAAATTTTTTATTTTTTTTTTTTAACAAAAAAGTCAATTGCCTGTGACTGCCTAGCCAGGTGTGATCTGATGTGCTGTAAGTGTGACATGCCACTTTGAGGCAGGATGCAGATGTCAGATGAAATGGACCAAATTCAGGACTAGTTTCATGCAGTCTATTCACCGGGGAATTGCTGATTCAGGGCTGAAGCCAGACTTGGTATAAGCGGGTGTAACTCCAAATATGTTAATGAAGCCTAGCCCCGCTTATACCACATCTATATTTGTCTGCTAACCTCATTCCTGAATTCTTGAGTTATTGACACTTTCTTGCCTATGGGATCTAGCACATTTTTTTTTCTTAGAGAAGAAGCAAGTGGATTTGGGATAATAATTTCTTCTTGATGCCTCTTTCTTACTGAGGAAAGGAAGTCACAAAAAACTATACATGTCAAAAGCAAATGCCTGAATGCCATAAAGAGTCTTAAATTTTCCACACTATTCCTTTACTTCACAGTTCTATCCATGCATAAAAATGAGATGGTTTCACTGGCGATTCCCCTCCTGGCTGGAGTGTGTTAGTCATTTTTTATTCAGTGTTATATTTTTATTTGTCCTTTTGTAGCACTTGGCAGTCACAGGGCACCCCAAAACTACCAGCTGTGCAAACAAAATACCGTCCCTGTCCCAGCCCCGTGCTTAGGAGTGCTGAACTAAAAAAATCCCAAAGGATGGGAATAAGAAAGGCAGTTTTTCCACAGTATCAGCCAGTATAAAAATCCATATGTAAAGAACCACTCAGGGTCCAATGCTGGCACAATCCTCTCACTCTTATGAGTCTCACATTTTATTTTTTTGTGAAATACATAGTTCTTGGTGTCAAGAGATTCTGAGCTATTAGCTAGAAGAGAAGAACTTGAAAATAGGTCCTCCAAAAACTGAAGGAAAAAATACAAGAAGTCAGAATGCATTAATTTTTTAATAACCTTGTAATTACAGTTGATTTCTCAATGCTTCCTATAACAACATCAAACCACAGACATGTTGCTTGAAAGCACTGCAGCACTGGGTAGATAATTCCCACTCTAATAAGGCCCTGCTCTCTGACCAGGGACTCTAGTATGATAAAAAGAACAAGAAATAGTGACGGCTTGTAGCACTATTTAGTGGAAGCAGATGACCTCACCCTCTCCTAATGCCTTCCTCTCCTGCTCCTTAGGAAAAGAAAGGAAATGGAGCACTGTTCTGTAACTGGTGATGACTGCTGGCATTTGGCATGCATTTTTTTCCAAATGGTACACAATGACAGCAGTAAGTCCCAGTTCACTCTACCCCTCCTGCCCTGACCCAAAGAAGGTGAAAAGTGGCCACGCACTTTTCCAGAGGTGCACCCTGGGGCATTCGTCCTGTAGGTGCTGATCCATTTCACCCAAGGCAGGGTAGAGGAAAGGGTGCTTACCACCTACCTCTGCTCACATGAATGGCTCTGCCATCCAGTAGGTCCTGCAAAATCCTTATTTCAAAGTTCCCCATGGGGACTTCAGAGCTGGAAATACCTGGACACAACAGAACAACACAGAACAAGTGCAATTGGGATCCAATAGAGCTGCCCCTGGGAAGACCCTGTTTCAAGTTTGGTGGTGTGTCACCAAGCTGAACCTGTGTCTCAACTGATCTCCAGCTGCCCCACAAGCAGATCACACACTGAGAAGGGCAGAGCAAACACCCTACTTTTCCTCCCTGCCCTGGATCCTAAAGTACTACAGGATCAACTCCCTGTACAAATGTAGCTTGATTTTATGGTTCATTTTAAGGACATCTGGTTTCTTTCACTGTAAAGATGACTTCTGGACACTTCAGTGCAATCCAGAGTCAGCACTGCTGTACAATAGTTTATATTGTCCATTAGTTGGTTCATTTAGAAATGTGGTGTTCCACCAGTGAATGTCTTGTTGCAGTCTGCATCCACCAAATTACTGTGCTTCTGTGGAGCAGGTAACTTCTGGTAACTTTCCTATTTTCATTACAAACCATATGAAAAGAAAGCAATTTACAGTAATTGTATTTCATGGGGATGTTGATTTCCTCCCTTTTCATCTCCAAACAATGAGCAAGGCAGCCAAAAGATTAGAACCTTTTTCTTGAAATTTCAAAGCGTTGTATAATGTTTCAGTTGGGTGACTTCCACTCCAGTTAAATCCATGATATTTTGGGGTTTTTATCTCAAATATATTGAGAGTCTTGAAGTATCAGTTCCAGCTCTCCAGTGGATAGGATCTAACAAATTCATTCACAAGCACGTTTTAGTAATGATTCTTTTCCAGCCTACCTCCATACAGGCATACTTCCTCTTGATTTATACCAGGCTTTTGGAAGCATAATGCAGGTGGTATCAGACTCTGCTGAGCTCTGTTATCATTATTATGTAAGTCTTACAGAGCCTACAGCCCAGCAAGGGTTTTGCCATTTTAAACTGGCACATATTCTGTGCCAAAGAATTCAATGAAGTTTATTTGACTTTCAAACTAATACCCACAGGCAGATTTCTGAGCGCTTATGCTTCTGTCGCTCCGATTCCAAGACAGAGCCTTAGTATTGTAAGAAAAGGAAAATATTGGGTTATCAAATCACCATCATCCAGTTGCAAAAGGAAAATAGTACACACACTTCTACTATTTTTCTCTTTTCTGCATTTTGGTAAGGTTAAATAGAAAGAAAATAAGTTTTTGCTATGTTAGGCACCTATGTGCTATTGTCTGAAATAATGCTGTGTGAGCTTGAAAAAACGTGGCTTGGTCAAAAAACAGAATGAAAACACATAAAAGTATTAAAAATCCACACAAGTCACCTAACACTCCCTTCTCCCTTAATTTCTCTCTCAAGCTTGTAACCCAAATTTGTCTAGGCTCATTTCTGTTGGAATGTTCTTCTACATTCAAGCCTGCATCTTGAAATAACGAGTGACAAAACACTACTGAGTGTGTTAACTTTACACATGTGCTGAAGTTTCTTGATGAAAACAGGGGGTCTGCACATGCTTTAGAATTACAGCTGTGCTTAAGTTCTTTCCTGAATACAGACAGGCTTAAACTTTGCTTTAAGTGCCTTCTACCTTTGGGACTAAAGAGCTCCCTCTTTAGAAAAGAGCCTTTTAAACTGGAGAGGAAGGATCCAATCTATGCTGATCCAAGCCTGCTTAAACCAAAGGGGCCCTGTACAGACCTAAAGATTTGGTCTGACCATGCAAAAGAAGTGATCAGACTAGGTCCTAAAAAAAAAAGATAAACTGCCAAAGTTGGTTTGCTTGTTGCACCCTTTCCAGGATGCACTAGAAATATTTCCAAAGAGACCATTTCCCATGCTATTTGAAACACCACTACTAACTCTAAAAAGCAATTCTGTCCTCAGATATTTCATATCATATCCTCTAGGGTGTTAGGCTGTAGGAAATATATTGCAATATTCCCCCTGTAAAAAGATCTGCAATCCATCTTGCTGTCTGCAAAGCAAACCAAGAGCACTGCTCTCAGCCTAGGCTGACCAGGAGACTAGAAGTGCATTTTGCTATCCTCACTAGTGCCACTAAGTCTTTTACTTTCACAATGCTTGTTCAGCAGTCGGCTTGGATAGCTTTTTTCCTTTTTGCTTTCAAAATGTTGACAATATTGCTAATAATGTGGCCTTCATCCTTTTAACTGTACAAATTTCTTTACATTACAAATAACTCCGAATTTGGGAAGCTGGAGACACATTCACCTTGTGTGTTTTGCTTAGTATGTGTACATACAGTGTTTGAATATGAGGGTATTAAAAGAAAAGAAGAGAGATGAGAAAAGGTGAGCTCTGTTCCTTTTACCAACATTGCAGGTAAAAAGAAGGTTCTCCTCCAGGTAGAACTAGGCTACAAGTCAAAGAACTTGAGTACAATATAAGACTTTACATTGCAGTTTTTGGAAGCAGATTTTAAGAAATTCAAGCAAATTAAGGCTGCTTCGTGGAACATGAAGATACACGTGTAAAGGTCTTAATCACCAAAAAAAAAAGATGCAGCATTTTGCTTAAATACAGCTCTATACATCAGTTTGGCCATGCTTGGATCAGTGTGAGGGACAAATACACTCTTAGAAGTTGTCAGCAAGCCCTTCAGTAGGACTTCCTCCCTTTAATTCACAGCTTTCAGCTGGCTCTGAAGAAAACATCAGTAAATCTCCTCACAGAGAGGGAACCTCTTCCCTCACCCCAAAGAAAGCTCTCAAAAATAGGCTTTTAGAGTGGAACCAATGGGCATGCTCAGAAAAGAATGGAGTTTCACAACCTGGCCCAAGGGGCTGCGAGGCCAGGAGCTCAGGTGCTGCCCTCCAGGTTGAGGGACTCTTACTACCCATCCCCAGGACTGTTGGGCCTTGAGAGCTGCTGAAGGGACCTCTTTCTTCCACAGCTGAGTGGGTTTGACACCGCACCAGATTCCATCCTGGGAAAAATGGGGTCCAATTCTGGGGTTGGCTCTGCCCATTGACCCATGGCTGCAAATGCAGGAGTAAGGTGCTGCTCTCCATGAAGTGGAGCATTTGCTGATGTCAAACCAAATTCCAATTACTATATCAAAGCAAGCAGACCATGTAAAGCAGCATAATTAATACTTACTATCACTACCTGGCCACTGGCACAATGCAGCATGCATCTCATGAAAGGCATCCTTTCCTCCAGCACTGTTTCCAAGCTTTTCTGATTCTTTTATCCCTTACTACCAGGTCTTGCACCACAGTGGCTGTAGCAGGACCATGTCCTCATCCCCTTGACGTTCCCCAGTTGGTCCTGAGCACTGGGAGCACCTCTGGGAGCCAGGGGCACCTTGGCACCGGTGGTCACTAGAGGGTGCTCAGTGCACCTATAAAGAAGAGCTGCTGGCTCGCCGGGATGCATTGTTTCCTCCAACACGATGCAATGAACAGCTCATTCCAAAACCAGAAATTACTTCTTTTCATTAAAAAAGTACTTTAACAGAAGCAGATAAAAAAGATTTCTTCGTGCTGCGGTGGCACCCACCGTCGGCTTTGCCCTCAGGGCTGGTTATGTCTTCCCGCTCTCCCATCTTTGCTTTCTTTCAATCACCCCGTGTGCTATCTTCAGCTGCTCCAAGCCGTTTGGCCAGTTAGTCTCTACATCTCCTTCCCCTAACCCCACCTTCCTTCCTGTCATAGCAATGAATTCATTTCACTTGCTAACAGAGCTGAGAATTTGGGAGAGGGTCTGATTCAAGGGAAACACTTTTTTATTTAAACT